ACTTGCCGACTCGTTAGCCAAAAGGGGGGTCACTTCTAGAGGCCGAGTAGGGCGCTTTCTTACTCGTTCTCCTCTTAATCCCCCTCACATTTGGCTATCTAAGACCCCTCAAGAACAATCCGATTTCCTCTGCTCATTGCTCCTTTCCAAGAAAACTCTTACTCCCTCTCTCCCTATCTCCGCCAAAAAACCTTGGATCTCCCCTTCCACTCTCGGCCTTATCTCTCACTTTCAAGACTGTACCGATCTTACTGTTCCTGAGCTCAAATCTCTCCGTAAACGAATCAAGAAATCCGCCTCCCGCAATAAAAAAAAACAGTTCATTGCTCAGCACTTACAAGATGACTTCCACGGTTCCTCTATCCACCAATGGCGCACAGCTCGCTCCATTCGTAAACCTTTTACTCCTCTTTCCGTTAATCTCTTTAACATACACGGTAAGCTAACATCTAAGGATCTCTGCGCTACTACATTCGCAGAATATCTCTCTGAAAAAGTCTGGAAGGCTCCTGACCCTCAACCTGATCTCCCTGACAATCCTTCTCCTGTTGTAGACTGTTCCGCTCCGTTTACGATGGCTGAACTCAACATTGTTCTTAGAGCACTAAGTACGGGCCGTGCGCCCGGACCTGACTCCATCCCCGCTGATATGATCAAGGGCTCCCCTTACATCCTCAAACTCTTCCTTCTAGATCATTTTAATCATTGCCTTTCTACCTCCACCGTTCCTGACTCCTGGGCTCTTTCTGAAGTTGTTATGTTAGTTAAAAAGATCCAACATGATACTCGAGACCTCTCTAACTATCGTCCTATCTCCCTTACCAACTCCATGTACAAGATCTTCGCCTCCCTAACTCAAAAACGTCTTTCTCATCACTTCGATGACAGAATTCGTTCTACACAAATCGGGTTCCGGTCTAAATGATCTACAAATCAGCCTATTCATATTATGCGTAGGATTCTCGAAATCTATGAAAGACAACAGAACTCCCTTCACGTTCTCTTTCTTGACTGGTCTAAGGCATTCGACTCAGTTTCTTTCACCGCCATCGAGTCCTCCCTCCGTTTTTTTGGTGTTCCTCCTCTATTCGTTGACGCAGTACTTTCTTTGTATTGCTCCCCCAAATTCCGTGTTAGGGATGCAGGCAAGCTCTCCGATGTCTATCCCCAAACTCGAGGCCTACGTCAAGGCTGTCCTCTTTCCCCCTATCTCTTCAACTTCGTCCTTTCTCATCTATTCTACGACATTGAATCCTCTTACACCTCACAATTCGGCCTCCTTTCTGGAGTTATCAATATCCCGTCCCCCTTGTGGGACTTGGAGTACGCAGACGACACGGCTCTCATGTCTAACTCTGCTGAACAGATCACAAGGCTCCTTCATATACTTCAGTCCGAGGCTCATTCCCGTGATCTCACCCTCAACTTTGATAAGTGTGCCCATCTCCGTTTACATTCAGACGAGAGGGTCTTCTTTTCGCCATCTCTTTCCTCTCCTTGTGATTGTTCACGCTGTCATGGTCATCTTGACCCTCCTCCATCTGTTCCTCTTTCTGATGAAGTTAAGTATCTGGGTGTGTTTCTGGATTCTCTCTCCAACAACAGAAAAAATGTTTCTTATCGTACTTCTCAGGCCATGTCGGCCTCCAAACTCCTTCGACCTCTACTAGCACATCGAGCCTTGCCTCCTTCTTGGAAACTCACAGTCTATCGTTCTATCATCCAGTCCTTTTGCTATAGGATATGGAAAGTTCACAGCTCACTCCTCCTCAGATTACTAAGCTCAATCATGTTCATTTCAAATCCCTACGACGCATTTTCCGTATAAGATCTTCTTTTTATCATAGGGTTCTCAATCCCACTGATGAAGATTGTTCTTACTCTTATCTGGCTTCCCTCTCCTATGACTCATCTCGCGTTATCACCCCTTCGCAAATTTATTTACAAAATCGCCTCACACTCCTTGGACATTTATTCCGACATCCCTCGTCTCTCGAATACTCCTCCACATTTATGCCCTCGGGCCAGTACAGGTATACTAGAGGCCCCAACCGGGTTGGGCGCCCTCGACTACACTGGGCTCAATCGGTTATGTCTGAAGCCTCCAATAGAATCTCCTTCCTTGCCTCTGACCGAGCTCCCGTCCACTCTAATATAGACCACTCCTTTTTTCAGATCCCCAATATCACCAACGTCAGATTGACACATGTTTCTCCTTCTCTCATGTGGATGGACAATACTTCTCTTTATAGACGTGTTCAAGCAAGGGCTCTTAACAGGATTAGTGTTGTTCATAAACCTAAGAAGCAAAACCACAATGCTGCTGGTGCAGACGGCTTTGACCAAGGCTTTCTTTCTCCCTTTCTTCCTTTCTTTCTTTCTTCCTTCCTTCCTTCCCTTGTTTGTTTCTTTCCTTCGTCTGGCGGTGTTGAGGTTTAGGGTTTGGGTGTAGATTATTGGTTCAGATCAGAGTGACCCGACTGGGACAACTGAAGAGAAGGAGTGTTACGCAAACGGCATGCCTCTAGAATGCGAAAAGTCGATGCCAAGAACGCTACAAGTCTTTGCTCCAAGTTCAAGGAAAATTGACGAGACGCCGTTTGACCCATACATGATCAACTACACTTTGGCAGAGTTGGCAGATCAGCTGAAGGCCCAGTTTCGGAAGGGAGCGCGCAGGCATGATGATTGCCACTACAGAGGGCGCTAACAGGCAGGAATTTGGCGAGCACCTTTCTGATTAGCCGCAAAGGGGGCTCTGGTTGTAAGCCGTCAGATCAGATCAGATCTGCACAATGGCATACACGGGATCCGGCTTAACAATTTCATCAAGGTGCTTGATCGCCTGGAGTATCCGGACCCAGCAGACACCGCGAAGTGGTAGCTCAGACGCACACTCTGGAGAGGCACCATTGTGTCCACGCGCTCCTTGCATCGCAAGTGCCTTTCGTTGCACGCATGCCCGCACATGTAGCTCCGTAGCTCAGGCTGAAGAACAGTGCTTGATTCCGCTGTCCGCGTGCACTGCGCGAGAGTTGGAGATGCGTGCAGAGAAGAAGGACGCCGTGTCTCTTCGCATCGAGGGTACCATCTGTGTTTCCAAGGCAGCCGCCTTGCCGAAAGTCGACACATGCACCAGCTTGTCGACTAGCGCGCGCAAAGGCTCTAGAAGAAGCCTACAGTTCACCTGGGCTTTGAAGGGAAGCTTCAAGCGCTTCAAGGGCTTTGAAGGAAGGCTAAATTCAGAGTAGCGCCCACACGACCACAAACAAAAAGCAACGCCGACATTGCTATGGCCCACAGGCGGTCAAAAGATCCGCAGAAAGGACCGAGCCAAACTTGGATGCAAAGTCAGACCAGACTCTAAGGTGTTGCGATTTTATGGATACGTCCAGCAGGCTGGACTTGCCCCCAGGGCCGAGGACGAGAGACGATGAGAAGAAGTCACTCTGGTTTTGCTTGGAAAATCACGCAGGCAAGGATTTTCCAAAGAAAGGCAGCAATAAGTGACTGGCAGGGGGAGCCTCCCTGCCAATGAGCAAGCGTCAGAACCACTCCTCTGCCGGACGGGAAGCGTGACAAGCTACTACATTTAGGGCAACGCGGGATGTGTGTATTTCCCCTAAAGTGTGTCTGCGCCAGTTGATGCCTGGAGATGCTGCACTATACATCCGCGGGGCCAATACTGGTTTCCATCTTACGTACTGTGTTGCCGCATGTCCACCTAGTGCTCATGGACCATAATTCGACGCTGACAGGACTCTGGGAACGAGAAAAGTGTGCGAGCTGCCCCTAATGTGGACAGCCAGCAGGGCAATTCCTGAAGAAGTCTCACGCAGCTTTGTCAGAACGGATTGAGCCAGATGAGCATCACTATAATAAAGTCGAATCATTAAGCATCCATTCAAATCATATCAAAATCAAAATCTTCATCACGAAAACTCCCATCAAGATATTCAATCAAAAGATGCACATCCAGAAGATGCAATGCAAGCTCAAGCTTTTTGGCTGGTGGAGCGGATCCAAACCTTGTTATCTCGACCACAACGCTACGTTGACGGTTCAAGGTGCAACCTCATGAACTAATCCCAGAAGCGACCATTGAGGATTTGGGGACTCAACTACGCACATAGTCCTGTACAACTCGGCAGAGTATGACTATGTATCTGCACGCTAAATGTCGCTGACTTTGCGCCTTCTCAAGGGTTAGTGTCCATTTCACGGATTAAGTCTATATAAACCCTAGGCACAAGAGACAACTAAAAGGAAGCTGGGAAAGGCACGGGCATCCAGCTTGCACATAGGGCGGGTAGGGTGGGAACCAAAATTTATCTTGTGCCATAAATCACCGGAAACATCAAGTGTCAAGCAATTGGCATGTGATCAACCACTCAAGTGTAAAGTTTGCAAAACCAAAATACGGCAAGAGGTTTTTGACTTTTCCTCAGGCTTTCGCCGGGCATAAGGATGCATAACCAAACCTAAGGGGTCCCACCCACCCACCCAGCTAATCCTCCCTGACAAACCCATTGGGGGACCCAAGGAGCTTGTCAGAACGGATTGAGCCAGATGAGCATCACTATAATAAAGTCGAACTAAGCATCCATTCAAATCATATCAAAATCAAAATCTTCATCACGAAAACTCCCATCAAGATATTCAATCAACAGATGCACATCCAGAAGATGCAATGCAAGCTCAAGCTTTTTGGCTGGTGGAGCGGATCCAAACCTTGTTATCTCGACCACAACGCTACGTTGACGGTTCAAGGTGCAACCCCACGAACTAATCCCAACCGAAGGCGTGGGGTGTAGCCCATTTGAAGCGCAAGACTACCACTTGGTTCTCTCAGCCAGCTTTTGCTTCTTGGACACTGGTGCATGCACGGGATTTTGCAACCTCTGATTTGAGCGTGCCAGCTCAAAGTCGTGGTAAGCCGACTGCATCTCGTTAAAGATGGCCATGGGCAGTATATCAAGGGAGGCATCAACCCTGTTGCACTAAGAGAAACGCTCGAAGCGCATATTGGTAATGTCATCAGCCTCGACATTCTCCTCACGTGGACGCCATTGCAATCAAGGGCCACTTCATGGAGGAACCTTTCACGGTTGCCTGCGGGTTGGACCGATTGTCAGTCCCGGCGGTGATGATGGCAGGAAGCACAAGCCCCGCTGGAGAAATGTAAGGTGCAAACACCACGCAGGCCAGGTAGGTCGCAAGGAGTTCGGCACTTGCTTTGCTGATGCCCACTGTGAGGTACCATCAGGCTTAAACAACCAAGGGGTATCAGAAGGACTAAGGACTAAGCAAAACCAACTAGCAACCCCGGGGGAACCATCCTTACCTAAGAGCCAACCCCCTAAGACAACCCGTCCGGTCTCGCACTTGGCATCGGTGCGGAAGAGCTGCCGTGACTGCGGCTCCTTGAGAGGTGCTGGGACCAGGCGGCGCCCTTCCCTCAACTGAGCTCGCAAGAAAAGGAGTGACAAATGGACCAAGGCCGGCATCTTGCAAGCAGTGCCTCTGGCCAGCACCGAGCACCATGCATGCAAGGGGGCAAGAAATGGTTTAAGCCACGTAAGAATCCGGGCCACAAATGTCAACCTCCTCGTGAGCTCGATCACGGACCTGCCGACCACAACCCAAGAAGACTCAGCGGCTTTGTCAATCCAAGAAATGATCCAGGCGGCACGGGATTCAGAAATGCCTGCAGACCAGGTACTATAAGAGAGATGATACCCTATGTAGTCCACGTCAAGACCCCCCCGAAATTTATGGTATGCAAAAGGAGTGCCGACCACTTCGTACGCCGCAAGAATAATCCAAAGGTTGATGAACTTCTGCGCACCAGCAGTCATCAGATGGAGGTCGTCTACATAGACCATCTGGAGGTTGAAGGATGTGAGCATTAGGCGAAGCACCCAACGGCCTACCAGCCCGAAGAGGCGAGCCCACCAATAGGCGGCTGATGCGATACCAAAAGTACCGACCCGGTTTATCCAGATCGTGCGAGAGGAAGTAGATGCACGGCAAGCTAATTTGGGCCAGTCAGCCCGGCGCACCCTCACTCTGCGGTGAGCTTGGGCAATGTCCACCGATATAGCGAACACCGCCTCTTTGGTTTCGCGCCCCAATGCAGTCATCTCCACAGCCTCACTGGGACCAGGCACTTCCAGCCTGTCAAGGACTCGGATCTTACTGTTGAGCCCAACGCCATGCGTCCCGTCGTGGAGGGGTCTTACCTCTCCACTAGGTTTGGACACAGCGCCCATGGCAGCCACCAACAATCTCCCTGGCCCATACTCCGCCTCCACAGCCGCTTCAGTCGTGGGGTGCATGAGCCCGGCCAGCTCGTCCTTACGGAACTGCTTTTCAAGCTGGTCAGATGACAATTCAGCTGAGGAGTAATTGGCCATGTCCGGTTCGAAATCTGTGACATCCAGAGACTTGAAGTTGACCCTCTTCCGGAAAACCTGAGGAGTGCGCGGAATTGGCTGCTCATCGCCCAATGGCACACCTTCGACGAAGGACTCGTCTCCATCAACAAGGATCGCAGCGTCGGGATCCCCCAACAGAACAAGTGACTGGTGCAAAAGGTGAAGCCAGAACGGCTGGCCCTCTGGACGTTCCAACGCCAGACCTGGATCAGGCAATAACTCCGCCAACTTCCCCCTCAGAAAGTCCAGCTTGCAAGGATCAAAGGGGGATACCTCAAGGTGGCCAGCTTTGCGGGGATCAGGCAACTCCCCGACCACAAAGTCTCTGAGCACCCTTTTCGCATGCTCCAGCTCAGCCTCGGAGCACAGCCTGCCCCGCTGGAGAGGACGCCACCTGCCTGGAGAGCAAAGACCAAAGCCGTCCACAAACTCTGGGCTGCCCAAAGAATGCCTGCACCTGATCGGGGGTCCAGAGCACCTGCTCGTCCAAGGGTCAAAATGATCACACCCCTCTGCATCCTCCTCCGAAGAAACATCTTGAACCTCAAGGCCTGGCGCTTGACCTGGTGCACCCTCCGAACGTGAACTGGACATCTGACCTGGGCTGAGCACCTGGGCATAGTGGCTGCACTTCGGGCGCAGACGAGCTGGACGCCTGACCTCGTGCACCTGGACCTGCCTTGACCTGGGCACCTGGGCATGGCACCTGAAAAGAATGGGCAACCTGACCTGCACCTTCTGCTGGAGATGAATGGGCAACCTGACCTGTACCTTCTGCTGGAGATGAACGGGCAACCTGACCTGTACCTTCTGCTTGAGATGTCGGGGCACCAGAAGTGATTGCGGGAGGAAGAGGAGGAAAAGATTGGTGTGGCTCAGACAGAACCCCTTTCTCCGTAGGAGTCTGAACCAACACGAATCCCAAGTCTAGAAGCTGGCAGATTTGAAAGTTTTGCAAGCCGGTGCAGTCAACAGAGAAACCAACCAGCACTACACGGTCACCTGACCAAGGTTCTGTGCAATGAAAACGAAGATGGGCCTGCAGTACTTGGGGCGACGCAGCGACATCCAGAAGCTTGCCCTCCATCAAAGTTCCCTGAACAGAGCGAAGCACCTGTCCCCCAGGCTCTTCTTGCCAGACCTCGCCTCCAGTGAAGCTTGACAATGCCAGCAACAGATTGGGAAAAGCAGCATTACGTGAGTCGCGGTGCATGGAAGTCAACACGTTGAAGAAGATACCAAAGGAGGTGAAAACCTGATTGGGGAACCTTTCCCGCAGAAGTCGGGTAAAGCACTGGATGGAGAAGGGGTGGGAGCTGCAAGTGGAGCGCAGGCCATACAAACCTCCTCGAAGAAATGCTCCAGCATAAAATGCACCTCCATGGTCTGCCTGCGTGGCTTTGTGTGCATCTTCTCGAGGAAGAAGCCAGGCCAAAGACAGGACCTGAGGAAGGGGCATGGAAGTGCCAGAAAGGAGGGAGCGCGCACATTCTTCCGCCGATGGCTGTACAGAAACATCACCTGTGCATGAGCCGGGGACAGACTCCACAATGGCCTGGGCAAGGTATTTGCACATGAGAGTGGGATAAGCTTCTGCACCTGATGTCAGGAAGCGACCATCTCGGACACCCACTCAATGAGGATGGGAACCGTGAGGGCAAGAGCCAAGAGGCCCTAGGTAATTTCTTTGAGGGTCGAACTGAGGCCAAGAACATTGCACAGGCAGGAAGGCAGGTAAGTTGCTGGCAAGACGTGTTGGCTTGGATGTTGCGGCTTCAAACATGCATTGATGGATGGCCCATGTTGTGCCTCCTTGGGAGACCAACTCACGCAGCTCGGGGAGCTGCCAAATGCTCCCAGGTACTTCTCCGGATTTTGTCCGACCTAAGTCTTCCGGGTGCTCTAGCAACCAAAACTTTGAACATTGAATTTGAAGAGAAATTGCTCGCAAGCACTGCCTGACGAAGAAGTTAGCCAAATCCACCTTAAGCCGATTGGCATTCGAAAGCCAGGGGAACCCCCAGGGGTATGTGAAACTGCGCAAAGGAACTGGACCGCCTTTGCCTAAAGAACGGTGACGTGCTCGACTGTACGTGCCACATGGCGGAGAGAGTATGAGCACATCATACTTGGAGGATCGGTGTGGTTATATTTACTTGGCGCAGTTACTATGTGTTTGAAGGACTTATAAAGCAGTTACATAAGTAGCTCCATAAGTGAAATCAGGCACTTAGAAACGAGCGCGGTTG